CCTTGTCATGTCTGATGAGCTTGATGTCAACGGCCATCATCATGTCTCGATGTTCCGGCGTGTATTGACACGGGACTCGAGCAGCTTGCCCCAGCATTCGGTAGTCGTTCGTAGTCAAAGGTAGAGGTAACCAGCCGTAAGGTAGGTAGTCAGGGATTTCCTTAGACGAGCAGACCCTCGGCGCTATTCCGCGTCTACCGTGTCTATCAACGTCGGTATCTGTCAAAGACGGCCGTAGTAGGATCGTAGTGTCGAGTGTAAATACAGGACTACGCCCGAAATGTTAGTTTTGTGCTGTACTGGGCAATGTGCTGTTTGTCCATCGCACCGCCAATCTCCCCGTTCACCCGCCAAAGGTCGACCCAAAAACGAGCCAAAATTAAAAATAACCTTGGGCCCCTCCTCCCGTGGGTGAGCCGGCTTCTTGGGCCCCAACCAAAGGCGGCGGCGATTCTCACTTGCAAAAGAACTAACGCAGAGGGAGGGAGAGGCCGGGGGCCGGGGCGAAAGGGCCACTCACTGGTGACTGGGGGCCACCAGTGGGAGGGACCGAGAAGTGAAAACAAGCGGTGGGGTCGAGTCCATCCAAGAGAAGACAGATGATTGACCGACCAAGCCGAGGGGGTGAGCGAGAGAGAGAAACTGAGAGTGAGGGGGGTAAAGGTAGGAGAAACTGCTAGAGAGACAGAGAGGAAATGTGTGTGTTGGTGAGCGAGTGACTGACTGACTGACTTTGGCCTCTCACCTCACCCTCTCGAGACTTTCTCTCCTCCCCACGTTGCGTGCTGATGATTCTAGTCCGCAATGGGGCTGAACAGCTGTGGGAATCATGGTTTCGCAGCACGCTCGCATCGTGTCCATGCCGAATTCCCACCTCCTTTCGCATCTCTCTCCAAGCAACACACACTCCCCCTCCATACCGAACCGACCACTGGGAGACGGCCCTTGGGTTTGCTGCGCCTCAAGCTGCTGCTTCTGCTTTGCTTCGCTTTTTGCTTTCACGTCCCAAAGTTCGCCGACGGAAACATGCTCTCCAGCACTAGTTGACAAGCCGCACCATCTCCATGTTCCATCTGGAGACTTTCTAGCGCGTTCCTCTGCCATGCCCTTCCCAGTTAGCCATCCGCTGAATGTGTGGCTGGTTTCTCCTCGGGCGCGCTGGCACAGGGCCCCGTTGCCTCTGTTACCTTCGCCTCTCTGGCGCCGTCGCTGTTGCTGCTGTGGGCGATTCTGCCGCTGGTCTCACTCTCGCGGCTGCTCGCTGCTTGTCTCCTTCGGGAATGGCTTCGTTACCTTTGCTGCCCCCTGCTACCGGCCCATCATCGCATCACTGCGTCGCGCCGCTGATGCCATGCCATGCTGTTCCATTATCGCTCCGTATAGCCTCTCTATTTTCGATGCTCGCTTGACTGGACCTCACTACCACCGGCCGGGAAGCTGTATGAGTCTTAGAGGTCAAAGGTCAGAGAATAGGGGCAGGGGCTAATCTTGTCCCGATCCAGTCCAATGACACGCTGCGGGCGAGGTGTCGGCAGGGAGCTAGTCAACACGATGGAGGCGAAGCAATCGCCAGTCAGCGAGTACTGTATCGTTGCCTGTCTGTGCCAGCGTCTGTGCCGGTGACTCTTTGCGACGCTGCCGAACCAGTCATGGACGACGTCCCCAGCCCAACTCAACTCAACTCAATCCATCCCATCTCATCCCATCTTTCGGTCTCTCGCCCTCTTTTGCGCTCATGCTCATGCAAACATGCTCGTGCAACGCGCCCACTCAGCCGATGACAGAGAGCACCGCTCACCGTCCAGTCCCAGACAACCACTTGGCTCAGCTTCATGCGAGCTTAGCTCTGCGCCCTTGATTCTTCGTGATACCATTCAGCAGGAAATCTAGGCAATGTGAATGCTCGGGCAAAAGCCAAAAGGGGCCCGCCAGACCGGAGCTCGGGCGGCAAGCAGTATTCGCTGCTTTTTTCGTCCATCCCAACTATGGACTTGGAGAGGAAGACGAAAAGAGATGAATCAAGGGGTAGACAGACTCCGCGATCCAGGACAACATCCCCATGGCCGCCAAAAGCCCTCATGGTTGGGGCTCGCGGCTGGAAACCTCTTCACTCTTCGCAGGCCACTCCATACTGGGCCTCTCTGTCAAGCTGTGGTCAAAGTCATCTCCTGGCTCGGTAGACCACCGTCACCCAGTTGGCAGAATCAGGTGACTTAGGTAATAGCGTCGACAATTGAGTTGCGGGGCCTATAGCATGAGAATAGCAGGCGGCGACCGTGGACAAGTTGAGTTGAGCACCGCCCAGAGTAACAATCCATTGCCCTCGGCATTCGCCATTTGGGCTTGCATGGTATGCATCCGACTAGTCTTCTCCGGGGCTGAAAGCCTGAGAGGGTGCTCTTCATGATGTATTCGGTCAGAACCCGACTAGGCGGCCAACATCGTCATGTGGACTCAACTTGCTTGCCTTTCTATGGCTCCGGGTGTGGTGACATGCAGTACCGTCCGTCGCCAGAACCCTACACAAAGGTCCCGTCACCTTGGCCTGTGCCAGCAGTGGAAGCGGTTCTCTCCGTGTGTACGTCCACAGCGAGTGGCTCTCTCTCCATTCCCAACGACACCCATTGCCCATTTGTTGTAACTTGTACGGAGTACCTACAGCCTGCCCTATGACCCCAATCGGGCGGCCCTAGCACTGGGTCCAACAAATAGCCTCCGCGGGCATGGGTATAGGTAGGTATTGTTGCGGCGCGCCTGTGTCTGCGACTCTGCATACCAAATTTCGTACAGCTTTTCTCGCCTCGCTGTTGCGTGGTTGATCGAGTCCTCGAGGGCAAGAGCCTCTGCGTTCTGAAGTTGCACACGCAATCGTCCCAAGTCAGATGACGAGTGCGTCTCTGCCACCATCGTCTCGACATCTCTGGAAGCTGACATTGCCGCGGCGAGAACTGTCCAAAAAGCAAGAGAGTTCGACTCCCGTCATGCCACAACCTTGAAGGATAAGGAGCTCGAACTCTCAGCTAGAGCCCCGCCCCGGTCCTGGTCTATCGAGGAAGAGTGTCCTTGCATCGTTTCCCATTCCGACCGGAAGAGGAAGGACCCTGTTCCCATCTCTAGCCCACTAGAACGACTGACGAACGTTATGCGGTCATGGATCATGGGCATCCGTGCATACTTCCCCCTTGGGCTCCCCGTCACCCATGCGGACCTTGCCCCGTGGTATGCTATGCCGAAAGAAGCGCCAGCGCGATGCGGCGGCGACGAAAATGAAGGCGCCCGGCTGGTGGACACCGTCCTGAAGAGAACAGCCAAGGACTATCAGGCGAGTTGAAAGCTCTCCTAGGCTAAGCTACAACTCTCCGCGACGCCAGATACGGCCTAGGACCTACCAGGTAACATCAGCCAGAGAAACCTGACGGTCATTCAAGACATGGTTTCAAGCCTGTGCCGTCGAGTCCGAGCTTTCGAACCACAGCACTCACACAAGTTCCCCTACCAGGACCTGGGTCGATGCCGTGGCAGGGGGTTGATGGGCAAACACCAACTATACCCACTGTCCACTATGGTATGGATCTGCTGCTGCCGCTGCCAAAACAAACCATCAAAAGTGCTTGGTGGTTTGTGCTTTTCTGGTGAAGCAACGACACAGCGTCCAACCGTCTCGGTGCGACGTTTGGGGGCCTGTGTTCTGCCTTGTGTTATTTCTCCGACTCGCGTGTCCATCGATCCCTTGAGGTTATCCCCTGTCTGTAGCCCAAGTCCCTGCCGAGTCTGCGAAACAGTCCATGATCCCATTCTCGTCTCCGGAGGCTGACAATGTGCCCCTCGGCTGTGTCCCGATACACTTCAGACGACTGCCGGAGCCAACCGAATGTCAAATCATGAAGGCGAATCGGGCAGATCTTGGGACTAAGGTTTGAGGTCGTTGCTATTATGTCACATCTGCTGGGCATCTCCGCCCGGAGCACTGTGGCCAAGGGCTTGGAGATGAGCGTGAAAGAGTTTTAGAGATGAAGGTCCGAGAAGGGAAGAGAAAAAAAAAAGTGCCACGATCGTTTCCCCGCTCTACTTCGGCGTCCAGCTTCACCTCGGTGGGTTCGCTAGCGTAGCTTGCCTTTTTGCTTGGTATCCGTAGTGTAGGCGGGTGCATCGAGTAGCAGCGAGTCAGAGTGAGAGGTCGGTGGAGAAGACGAATTCAAAGACAAAAAAACGTTAATTCGATCCCCCTTCCCCAGCAAGAACAAGACGTGATGCTTTGGAGCGCCGTCTCAAGTAGAATGAATCTTCTTGGGGGATCTCTGTCTCCCGAGGTCTCGTCGCATTTCCTCCGAAGCCTTCTCAGAATGCCCCCCCCCCACCCCAATGTCTGCTCCGCCGCGCTGGGGTTGAGCGCGGGTCGCTTCTACCCAGGGCTTCCATCTCTTGCTCTTGTCTCTTGTCGTTGTTTGAACATGCCTCTACCAATCTGCAAGGGGCCAGGAGATCGGAGTTGCAGGGCGTCTTTCTGGTTCTGGTTGGCTGAAACAGCAGTTTCTCGTGTCCATTTTTGGCGTGCGCTGCTAGGGTATCTGACCCATGCTCTGCTTTTCCAGCCCTGGAATGAGAAACATGAACGGGGGGCTCGTCATAAGCAACTTTCCCGAATTGTCAACGAGATCTCAGATAGCCATCACAAACCACGAGGCACCTGGTGTCACCGCTTAGCGCAACCAGCAACATACCGTCAACCTGTCTGTGCCGGCTCTCGGGGACGTGACGCTTACTGCGTATGTCGTGGCGGTGGCTGTTCTCAACGCCGTCCAGCAAGTCAGCTTCCACACAGGCCGATGAGTGCGCGCGCGTGTCAAGGGTCGCCCGTCTCTGGCCGGGCCCGTGTGAGGTCCGCTTCTTTGTGCCTGACCGCCCCGTATGGCTCTCCTGTCAACCCTGTCAGACTGTCAGGGATGTCCTTTCATGACACAGAACACACCAGGACCAGCACACCAAACATTGATATGGAGTCAGTCATTTGTTGGCCAGCAGCGGTGTGAAGCAGCAGCGAGATAATCTTCCGAAGAGACATCACGAGTGGGTTTGGCCTTGCTGGGCGGGATGTTGGAATCTTGGAGATGTGGGCGCTCTCTTAGAGGGTCCAAGGAACCGAGGTAAATGGAAGGCAGCTTGCCAGCTTCCAGTCGTTGAAGGCAGGTCGGAGAGCGGCCGCCGGACGTGACCTACCGACCGTCCGAAGTTACGATGCAGGAAATGCAGGAACAAGAAGCGTACAAAGCCTCAGAGGTCGGCGGTGCAGGAGAGTCGAAAGAAACCTGCATCATCTTGACATCAACATACGCTTCTCGGCCCGTCTGCGTAATCCGGTCCATACGGTGATGTGAGCGTCAGCGAGCCTCTGGCAACAAAAGCACCACAACATGGCACTTTTTTTTTTCCCTCCCCGCCACCGACCAAAGTTACTGTGTGTCTCAGTCGATTGGCTGGCGAAGAGTGACCAGCGGCCTGAGGCTCTGATATGGTGTCCTCCTCCCAATATCCATGCAGAAGCATGGTTGAGGGCATCTGGTTCTTACCGTATTCGGCAAGGCGGGTTTCTATTCTTAAATAACCTTCTTTCACGTTGTCTGCGAGATTTCGGCCAAATTCACACCGCGTGCTTTGGCTTTCGAGAGACTTCTCGGGTACCGGGGCATTTCAGCTCTCAGGGTCCTCTGGGAGACGGCATTTGCTGATCTGGAGCCACATAATTATTTTTTCTCTCCTCTGTCTTTTCCATATTCGGCAACATCAGCAATGTCATGCGTATGATGCGTCGGATGGGGCTGAGAGACGCAACGTTCCATAGTACGCTAGCTGTCTGCCGATGATGCATAGCATTGGGACAGGCGGCACCTCACTCGTTAAGTCACCGACAGGCAGCGATTTAGGGCACGCCGTTCGCTCCGTCTCCGGTAGACTTGTTGGTGATCGACATCCGCCGCCGTGTTTGATTTGGGCGCAAAGACGATCCCGCGCTCGGGACGTGTCAAGGTCTCAACTAGAGAGTCCTCCAAGGAGCCATGTTGGGTTCGAAATCGGCCCTGCAGATGGCGGACTTGACATGCCCCCACTGCCGCCGTCACCTCGAGATGGTGGGAAATTTCAGACAGCGCGCGGGCACAGCGCGGGCTGATCGCAGTATGATGGTGGAAACATTGCGGCCGCCAGCTACCATTGGCTCTTTGACCGACAGGGCAAAGGGAAACCCTGTGCGCATCACCGACCCGCATATGTGAGTTGGACGTTGTGCGAGCCGCGACGGCCGAGCGCGGTGAGTAGACGCATGGGGTGTCCCGGAAGCCTCGAGGCTAGGGAAAGAGATCTGCCTCTCCAACACGCTGTTCGTGCCACGGCGCCCACAGAAAGTGGTGTTTTTGTAATCCCGTCCTCCCACACACTGCTGCCCGCTGTAATTCTGTAGCTTCTGAAAATCAACAAGCCCGGCAGCCCGGTGAGACCGTGAGCCTCCCTCAAGATCTGTGGATAGCCAGTCCAGCTGCGAAGTCGCCACGGAACTAGCGGAGTCTCGGGGCTAGCTTTCCTCCCATCCCGACCCGCCATGTTTGTCAAGCGCTACCTTGGCAGAAGCCACACAGAGGAATCAGGATGCGTGCTGGTAGCAGAAGACGCTGCAAACCAAGCGAGGCTTGCCAACCATGTTTTCGATGGATAGGAGGCGGTGAGAAGGGCAAAATGTCGAGCTAGTACCACACTGCAGAGTGCAGTTGCCGTCCGATCAGTGGGTTGGTCGGTGGACGCACACTAATCAGCCACAGACGCAGAGCCAGAGGTACCTAGAGAGATGCAGCGATGCAGAGATGCAGAGACTCAAGAGTTGGACGCATGCAAGCGATGCCAATCAGCAGAGTGGATGGCGGTGATTTGTTTATATGGCGCATGACCTCAATTATCCTGGGCCTTCATTCGACAATGGGCTTGGCCAGGGTCTCCAAGCTTTGCTCCGCGTCGAGAACTCTTCGGTGCGGAGAAGATGCGACTCTGCCATGGACTTTTGCTGATGAAGGTAGTTTATCCGCTGCGAGTCCGAGCCGGGGACAGGGCATGGGCGGCTGGGTGAGCATAACAGCCCTAGGCTCGGGGTTTCAAACGGGCAGCTATGCTGCCAGATGCCAATCTATGGCATATCGTCGGCCGAGTGACTAGCAGATTTTCCTTTGCCAATGCTTCTCCTTGCCGGCCGGGTCCTAGGTCTCCAAGGGGGCCGTTACTGTCCACCAGGGGAGGGGGCTTGGAGGCGAGGGTAATGATGACTGATCAGAGCGTGGGACGTCGATTCGATGGGGGGTTGGACTCTTGGAGAATTTGCAAGCCCAACTTCCAAGACAATGGTGTATCCGGTCTCCGTCCGTACTCTGTAGACGAAAGCGTACGGACAGATGGTACGTACTCTTCATCGGCGGCGAGGCGAGGGGTATCATATCATATGGATATGGGTAATTCGCTCATACTGATCCGCCCGTCTCCGTCGTGGGTTCACCGTTCGTGGGCAGCAGCGGTCATTCTCGTTTATTATCGTTAATTGCTGTAAAATTGTTGGCATTTCTACTGGGCTTCTGGAAAATGCGCAGGGCCGTCCTTCCCCACCATGCCTCGAGCGGCACACCGGACACAATCGGCAGGGGAAGCGTCGGAGTTCCACCGCTTAGCGGAGCAGAAAGGAACGTCGAAGGGAGGCCAATGACTGGGGGGGCGTAGCAGCACCATGAATGGCCGACCTTCATACCAGATGGGGTTTAGCAAGGTGGAAAGGGTGTGGGCGAAGAAGCTTGGTGATTATGATGGATTCATGGCCAGACGTGGTTGGCCGGCTGTCGACAGAGCTGGGAATACTGTCTCGACTGTCAGTGACGGGAGGTACAGTACGAAGACAAAGTAGTACTCTACTATGTATCCATATGTCTGTAGACTGTATCCGCGGGGATACAGCGAAACAATGAGCCTAACCGACGACAGACCTTGTCTTGAAGGCGGATGATGTGCATGTTGACAGGATCATGTCCGTCTGCGCGGTGCCAGTCTCCAGACGGGCCACTTTGGTGCGGTCTTGTGGATTTTACCGCCTCAACATTTGTGATTTCCCTGGAGAAGTGAAGTGAAGCGAGAGGTTGTCGTCTCATGTCATCGATCCAGCCGCTAGTGTGGGCTCGATTAGAGTGAAGTGAAGCCGAGAAATGCAAAAGTTCATGACCCGAGGCATCCAGGATGGTGAAGGGAGAGTCCCTACCCCTACGCATTAGAGAGAAAGAGAACGTCGAGTAGTGAGAGGGCCAAACCACGTTCAGAGTAGGTTAGGTAAGAATTGCTTGGAACATGGCCCCATGATGACGTCTTTGCTCTTTCCTCTGGGCTGAAGTTTCTTAAATCGACAAGCACTTTTGAGTCTTGGACTTTGGAGGACCGAGGAACCAGTGGAGGGCTCCTGTTGCCGGTGGACGCTAGCAGCTACCTTAGCCATCAGGGGGGAAGACACAGCTGTACTGTCTCGATTGATCGTTGCGCCGAAGTCTTGGCATTACCCGTCGCGCGGCGTGGCTTCCCGACTTTGTGAGGGGAATTTCAAGGTAACGTATCTCGGCTAGCACGCTGTACCAAAAGGTTCAATTGTTCCCTCTCGCCTTCCAAACCAAAGTAGCTGAACTCCATAGCAAGTACCTAGGTAGTGAGGAATTGGGAAGGTGGAAGGCACTCCCGCTTCTGCTGTTGCTTCCTCCTTCCATACATACGGTAAACAATGCTAAGGTAAGCGCGGCCAGATCGAACTCCAGACAGAAGGTACAAGCCACCTCATGGAAGGTACGGAGAACGGAGTACTTTTCGAGGTACTTTTACGGATACTGATACTGATGAAAGGCAAGGGCAGTGGAAGCGATGGGTCAGACACTGCAAGGTACCTTCTATGACTGAACAAGGTTAGTTCCGCCGTTCCCCAGCGCAAGGAGCCGATTTGCCGAGCCCATCTTGCCCCGGTGGCTACTTTTTTATTTTATTTTTTTCCATCGCTCTTCTTCGAATTAAAGCTGTGGAAACCTCACAGACTTTTTTGTGGTACCGCTGATGGTCAGGGAGAGGGGTCTTGAGAAAGGAATCTTCCATGCTTGCATTCTTGGAAGCGAGGAAGGGAAGAGGATGAGGACCAAGAAAGACTGGAAAAAAAAAAAAAAAAAAAAAAAAAGGCAGGAAGCGGATGGCAGGTGCCAGATGATTGGCCTTTCCCCCGATACCCCCGGTCAGATGGTTGCCTTGCATCTGGCTATATTTAGAAATACCCAGGTTGCCTGATCGGGAAACACTAGCTAGTAGTAGCCGGTCGGTAATGGAGCCGGGGGCAGGAACAGGTGAGTGTTGTGTGCACCCACCTAGCACCTACCTCTACAGTCTACTGCATAGTACATCGAGTCTCACCACAGGCCTTGCGGCCCTTGCCTACCTCGGGTTGGTGTCAAACGAAATCTGCGCTTTGCCTTGTTAATCTAGCGCCCTTCAGTTCTTTTTTGACCTCCACTGTCCACTGCAGCAACTGGTCACTCGACTGCAAGTCTCCAACAATACCTACCTACCTACCTCACCTTGTATGTACGGATACCGATACAGCAACAACAGCCCTTGAACTGCAGCAAGACCAACCGTACCCTCGTCTGGGACAGGGCAGGAAGAAGCGAGCAACAAAGGCCCTAATGCTTCCTTCATCTGCCTCTTCCCTGAAAGTTGGCACGAACCGATACACTAGGTAGTAATCTGCTACACACATACGGTTACCTCACGGACAGTTTGTCCATCCATCTCTACCCGACTCCTGGGCCCGTCCCTCGCAGGCAGGCTCGCACTCAAGAGTTCCCACACTTACCAACGGATACCCTACCTACCTTATACACACCGAGCGAGCATCACCGCCATGGGCCTAACCTGACCTGACCATGTTCACACTGCGGATACCAGCCCAAAGCTGCTTGCTACACCATGCAGAGAAGCAGCACTACCTCACCGGCCATGGCCCATCGTCTACGCAGTATGTGCCCTGGAAGTTGGACCCGACGTCCGACTTTTCTCGTGCCGTGCCCACCCCTCAACTCTCTCCACCATCCTAACAGACGCCATATCCATGAGCCAACGAAACCACCTCTTCGCTCTAGTGTACTCTGGAGCCCAAGTTCCAACCCCCGGCCGCCGTTGCCAAGCCCCGGCCTTGTGACAACCTCTGACCCTCATCCTAGCAAGCTCTTCGGAGGTCATCGCCGTCTCAACCCACGCATTCGACCTTGGCTCCGCTCTCCGCGAGCCCGGTGTCTCTTGCTCGACTCTCACCGTGGGCCGCTAGTCCTTCCCGAGGCACAGTCATGCAATCCTGATTCTTATGCCTGCTCCCCAGCCATATCTCATACTTGAAAACCTTCTGTTGCTTGGGTGAACACTGGATACTTGCATGCCACTTGAATGCTGCAAGACCAAGGCTAAGAAAGCCACCCCAAGACGATTCGTAGAGGATTTCCACCACTGACCTGTGACCAGGGCTCTGGCAGTTCACAGCATGACAAGCGCTGCGAGCTAAGAAGGACCGGTCGCTGGCCTCGTGGAACGAATCATGGCCGCCGGGACGACTTGACCATCCTCTTGGCTCCTAATTCGCCTTGGCTTTTGTTTCCCAAAGCCAAACGTCTGGCGCTTCCGCGGTCGACAATGATACGGTCGAACCTGATTGACGCTGTGTCTCTCTGACTCGGCCTATGCTCATTATCGACACTTTACTCGGCGCAGCTAGCTCAACACGCCAACTTTTTTCGCTATCCACCGGCTCCAGGCACATGGATTTCCGCAAAACAAGCGCACCCCGCGGCCGTCGAACGCCATTTCTTTGCCTCGGTCTGTGGCTGAACGCAACTTAGTCCCCAACGGGTCTGAGTTGGATCCGCCCTGCCAGCCGTCAGTCACCTTGTTGCCTCCACGTGCTCGATAACACAGCTTGGGCTTCCCTGTGCGCGTATCTGTTGGCTGCTTGGCCTGATGGTTGTCAGGTTCGCTCTGTCCCTGGCTTCAGGGGGGGGGGGGTGCCCTTGTATAGGTTCCATGATCTTCGACGCGTGCAAGGGGGAAAAGTTCCTGATGTTTTGTCGAACGACATATCCATCTGCTGCACCTCAAGCATTTGTCACAACATCCGCCATCCGTCAATCTCCCCCTCACTGGAGTCCCCCTTTTCCTGGCTTGTCTCCTTCCCTTTGGTCACTGCGTCCCGGCCGGGACGCCTCACCCGATCTCTCGACGGCTTCTTGCATCCAAGACCATAGATCATCAAGCAACGTTGTACGGCCTCTGCTGTGCTGCGAAAGCCACAGCACGGCCAGTCCAATACCGGCCAGCGCCTTCCTCAGCACATGCGCAGCTTCTGAGCGCAAGACGTCCACCGCTCCGTTAGTCTACCACCTTGCGGTGTACCAACTCTACACACTAGCATCCACAACTGCAACTTCTGCATGCCCCAAGCCCGAGATTGGCGAGATCATCGCTCGCCATGATGACGCTGCGTGGGTTTCCGCTTTCTGGCAGGAAATGAAGTAAAGTGTGAGACGTTCATGCCCCGATCCTTGGGATGCAGTTCTGTGTCTCCGATAGAGTGCGGATCATCCCATCACCTCCCCTCTCTGGATAGGAAGCCGTGTGCTTCGGTGACATGTCGTTGATCAACAACGAGATCGCGATCTCTCAGCTTTCTACAACATGCTACGACATGTGAGAGTACCTTCACCAGTTTGATTAAGGCTATGTCGGATGATGGAACCCCGTCGATAATGTCTAGCAACTGTCCTGCCGTGTTAGTCCCTCCGAGGGCATTGTACAAAGATTCCCAATGAACCCTCATCAAGGGCTTGATGCAGTTAAACTTCCGTCACCAGGGTCCAACCATTTGCCACCTTGGGGCTTCTGCCGTTCTCCAACCCGCAAGCTAGTGTTTGATAGGCATACGGATCACCCGGTGAGAATCCGGAGTGGCGTGGAAGTCTCTTTCATTCGATCCCGTTGTCGTTCAGGAGAAGTGCAGTGTGAGAGAGGGAGACGGCAAATCAACTCCAGATGATGATGCATTAGAGTGATATGCAGACATGACTTCCTAGCGTCGGGAAATGGCCCTTGGACAGTTGGCCCGGGTTGATGGCAACCTTGTTAGTAGCCTCGCGGAAATGCCCCCCTTCTAAAAGTGACCAATCTGTTTTCGAAATGGAGGTTAGTTGGTTGGCTGGTTGGGTGCTGGTGGTGGATTGCCTAGGTTGCCATTGCGGGATGGCATGACTTGGTCGTCATATCAAGAGCGTTTGGCGCACCAAGAGCACGCAACTAACGGATTCCTTTGAGGGTTGCTGCCCCAAAACGTTTGACGCTGGGCTACGGTGTGGCGCGTTACTAACGCCCTCCTCTTGTCATCCGCACCACTCACGTTGGCTGACACGCGCCACAAGGTTTCTGGAAAGTCTGAAAGTCTGCCAGACTATCGGACATGATAAACTTTGTTTTCTGAGACGGGTGTGCGCGGCGTGCGTCTTTCTACACTACAGTAGGGCATCTCTTCGTTCCGTCCCTCGCCAAATCGTCCCAATTGTGGCTAACGTGATGGCTAGACCAGCGAATGTCGTTGCGGTCGTCAACCAGACGCGGGGCGCATTTACACTTTGTCCGCGAGTCAGGTTCCCTTATCCGGAGTTCATTCCATGGAAGCTTTTGAGGCACTTCTTGGTTCCTTTTCTTCTTGGTTTTAGCTTGACAGCTTTGTGTGGTACCGAACACCACGCTCGCAGCTAGTCTAGGCAACCGGGAATCTGGTATCCGCGATGAGCCGGCATTACCCAGACACGTCAAACTTTCGGAATATTTGAATGTTGATGGATCATGGAGTGGGTGTGTGTGTGAGGCTTGGCCTGGATCCCGATTCCCGAAACCGGCGCATCCCGTGCCTACCTACACCACTGCCATGGACTCAGGGGAGGGGAGGCGGCAACGGCGATCAACCTAGCTGGGGGCGGATGTTGAAGGCATCACGGACATGGAGGAGTACGGTGGTGGTCGTCTGGTGCACCGTACGCCCAAACAGCGCCCCCTTTTTCCCCAACTTTTCTCGATGAGACGAGACATCGGATCAAGCTGAAAAGGACAGTTTCGGCGGCGGCCTCCTCCTACCGCGGATCTAGGCATCTACTTCGGCACTTACGGCACCGAAAAGGAGACGGTTGAATTTGATGAATGATTTAGCGCAGACATAGCCTCTCACTGTGAAAAAGGACGCATGGCGGCGGTGCGGCGTCACACACACACACACACACACACATACTTCATACTCACACGCCTGCGCGCTCACTCACTTACTCACTCACGCTACATCTTCACCATAGGTCCCCCATTCCCGAAACTGAATCGACGTCAAACTCTATAAAATTAGTCCTGCCCTCGCCAAGTGGTAACCTTTGGATGGGTGGCGGGAGGCGGTAAAATGAGACAGCAAAGGAAGCGAGTTAGACGCGAGGCGCTGACAAGCTTCGGCCGACAAGCGTCTCTCTGGTGACTGGTGTGTGGACGGACGGAATTCCGCAGACCACCTGATATGCTAGCTAGGCCTCATGGATCACTCACTCATCTCGTTAAGGGATGGGGAAATCGAACCATGATGGCGATTTTGGGATGTACCGGGTATTACGGTAATTCTGAACCTCTTTGACGTCGGGGGGCAAGATGATTGCACGGGGAAAGCGTCAAAGTCTAAAGAGAAGGCCAGCTTCCTCACGTTCAGTCAAGTCAGGAAAACGAAAAGCTCAGACCGTCTTCAAGGAATATTGGTCCCTACTCAGCGCCCGCTCTCCCGCTTCTTGGCAACGCACGAAGGACGCAGAGGAGGGAACCAAATCTTAACGGTTTCGCGGACGCGCGCCTTGTTTCGATGGGACGACGTAGGTATGAAGTCGAAAAAGGCCCCAGGGGGGGGGGCTGGAGGTGGGAGCCGACGCGGCGAGCCTCAAGGCCCCAAAAGCGCCCCCCTTCCGGGGGCGGGATCATGGATGGCCGATGGATGACCCGACAGGATGTGTGTGTATGTGTGCTTCACGGGTTGTTTCTGCGCCAGTCATTTTGGCATCTCCGCTAGACGCCGCCTTGTGGCCTTCCTGGCTGGCACCGCTAGGCTTTTGGTGGCTTTTCGTTGGCGGGATTAGCAGCGCATTGAGGAAGAAAGAGACTTTTGAGAGAGAGAGAGAGAGAGAGAGATAGAGAACGAGCAGGGAAAAAAGAGGGCTGAGAAAACCTCGTCGGAATTGGGATCTGCGTGTGCGACGTTGAGCAGGCAATATGAATCGCATTTTCTCTGCTATCTATCTTTCTATTCTCGCGTTTTCTTTGTTCGTGTTCTAATGGTTTTTCTCCCCGCGGCATGGGGTACGGAATGCCTAGCAGGTAAGGTAAGTAGCACGTATCCATAGGGTAGGTATTATTCTTAGAAGTCGGGGCTTATTTGGCGTGGGGAAAGTAAACAACCACCCTAGGGACAAAAGAGTCGAGAGAGTCGGACTCGCGCCGTTCGGTTCGTTTTTCTTTTCGCTTGTTTCCGGCCACCAGCTTACCGCCGTTTTGCGGGTTCGCTTTCGGATAGGTTCCGAGAAGGTTACCTCTGTCGCGGCCGTCGCCCACCCTACCTTAGCTTGACTGAAGCATTGATAAACGCAAGATCGTCCAAGAATCTCATCAAAGATTAAGCTCAAATCCCCGATGGCACAATTGGCTAGCGCGTCAGACTGTTAATCTGGAGGTTGGTGGTTCGAGCCCACCTCGGGGAGTCTTCAGTGGTTAAATTCCACCTCCGCATTGAGCGCTTCTCTTTTGCATTTTCGGCGCAAGATTGATTTCATGTCCTTTTTGCCTGGTCGTTCATGCTGGCTGAATGAATGAAGGAACGAGATTGCCTCTGTCTTTGTCAAATTCAATAGCAGTGGTTAGGCTGTAGTGTTTGCCGCAGCAACATTGCAACGAGACTCAGCGATTCGCACATGTCGCCCTTGGGGTCAGTGCAATATCCCGATTGTCTGTAGACTGAGCTTCGCAGATAAACCGTTCTCTCGAATTGGAGTGCTCCATCCATATGGCTGCTATTCTCATTCTATCTTTCATGCCATAGAGTTGAATGAACGGTGAAGCTGGCCCCTTATCGTAGACAGAAACCGCGTCACGATTCGCGGCTGTTGCGCAAGACATTAAGCTTCAACCACCTAACACCTCTCTCCTTTCGCGGAGTCAGGCACGCGTATTCGTAAATGTAAACTTCAAAGTTGTCTCTGACTGGTCGCTTTTTTCATGTCATGAGAAGAATCTCATATTTCATAACCGCGTTTTAACAGGCTGCCTTTTCCAAATTGACTCGATGACATGACGAAACTTTTATATTCGTGACAGCCCATTGTAAAAAACTATTGGCCTTGCGCAACACGTATCAGCATGCGATATATGTTAAGAGACAAGTTACACCTGTAGCTTCACAGGCACCTTTGAACTGTAACAGATAGCCTCGTTCTCACTTCTGAGGGCTATGTGTTAAGTGATGAAATACAGCAACCTTAGTGATGAAGCCCAGTTCACTGAATCGAATGAGTCGAATGAGCCTACGAGAACCCTCTTCATAACGAAAATAAGATCTTGATGCGGCAGATCAAATACTGCCATTGGCGGACTAACGCTCGAAAAGTAGGACTAAAAGGCCATGGCCCGTATCATCCTGTCTACTACCAACTACCCGAACCAATGATGGTGCCCAGCTCGTTCTCATCTACACATGTAAAGAGGGTCCCAGTGACTGAGGTATCGCCAGTTGTCGCCCTGAGTTCGTCCTCCAGTAGAGTATCTAGAGACTGATGACAACACAAGCGGACTACTCTTGCTCAAATTTCTGCGTCATCAGCCTTCAGAGGCTTCCTTCCGTAAATAGACCAGCTATCAAACATCAGCACGAAAGCTTCCAAGGCAAGGGGATTGAGTTTCACTCACACGTTGAAGTAAGCATGGATCGTTCTATCCGACAAGTCCCTCCGCGCCTCCATGATATGCACGAGGGCCTCCTCCCTCGTCCAGTTGTGCGCTCGCGTCAGAGGCGCCATCAGGAAACCCTCCCAGGCGAGCGAGACGTGCTCGTAACTCCACGCGCCGAGGTCCTTGTAGTGAGGGTCCTTGGGCCAGGTGTTTGTGGGCCACTTGTACTTGAGAATGTGAACTTCCTCGAAGCCTACTTCTTCCATGAAGTCCTTGAGGCGTCTCGTGTCCTCGAATGGACGGCCAAAGATCTCGGCGGCCGATTCCCAGAGGCGTACACTCCTCATGAGCGCCGAGTCGTCTTTGAGGGTTCCGTCGTCTGATAAGGGGACGATGTTACCCTCGTTTGCCTCTAGATATCCTCCGGGGTTCAAGTTGCTGTTTTGAAAACGAATGCGTCAGGGTAGACACTCTATTAGATGTGATATGGGGACTCACTCATAACACTGCTTGAAGAGCTTCTTCCAGTTGGAAATACTCCACGTCATCATTCGACTATGGATGTAATCGAAACGATCCGAAAAGATCCAAGGTTCTTCGACATCGTCGATTTCGAAGCGGACGTTGGGCGGAACACTTTTCTCTGCAGTCAGCCTGTGATATTTCTCTTGATCAACTCGGCGCTTCTTGAAGGGGGGCAAACACACAAATCTGGCTGCGCGGCAGAAAGGTCGACACCGAGAATCTACGCCGTAATCAGTAAGGAGTCAACGCTATGGTCGTCCTATGCCTTGTTGTCCTTACCTCAGCTTCGGGATGCTCCTCGCCAAAGTCGATGGCCCAGATGCCGCTGCCCGTCCCAATGTCTAGGACCCGTCCGACCTTGGCTCCCGGATCGGTGGGTGGAGCGTTTCCCAGCCGACCTCGGAAAGTACGGACGAATAAGTTGTGTTGAACATCTGGCCAGCGGCCTTGTCAGTATCATGAGTTCGTGAAGAAAGAGGTTGGAGAGTACATACCAAGCCGCTCATTTTCTCTTTCGTCATTCGGGATCCAGTATTCTAGGCTGGTTAGATTGCGCTGCATGCCATCGGTATTGGCTGAGATATGGACTTACTGCCGTCCTTGTATTTGTGATACGTCCTTCCATTCTCGGTTCTATAATCGAGGATGGAGCTGCTCAGACTCGTTGTCGAGGAAGCTATACTCTTTTATCATGGTGAGCTCTCCAAACTAATGACCCAAAATTAGGGACATGGCAACAATTACTCACCTGGTGGACAGAAGAGTTGTCGTCTGTGAACTAGAACAACAGTTGTGTCAGAACGTGATGGCTATCATGTTTTGGTCGCATTACCTCCTCGGCCGCAATGACAACCCCGTGTTCGGTCTCAGTCTCGGGCTGAGGCTGAGCGGCGGGCTCGGGAGTCGGCACACTGGCTGGCGTTTGGTTCGTGGCACTCATCTTATGATACCTTTTGCGGGTGATTTGCTCGCGCAAGATGGTATTGTAGTATGAAACTTAATACTACGATATGACTGAAGTATTTCAGTTCGACAAGTTTCGCCATTTTTATCGCTTTAGAATGTGCCATGTCCGTCTTGTTACCCCTCTCCTTGGCTGGAGACAATTATGCAGGTTTGCAACCAACAGACCACTTTCACGACAAGGATCCGGCCGCGCGGAGACGTTACGTGCAGATGGGGAACAATCTGCGTGTTGGAAGGGGATATGAGTCCCGCGAGAGGCTTTCCAACGTTGGTAATATGACCGCGTCGTGACTGTTGGTTACTGGCAACCAACTTCTCTGTCGAAATACTATTCCTCACTAGGAAGGAGCTTTGTTTGTGACGCGGCACGGTGATGTATCTTTTGCATTTAATAATATAACTTCTTTGAGCTTGAATCCCGTTCCATATCAATTTGTTTCTTTGGGTTGCATGTTGCGAATTGATGCCCCCTCCAGAGCCCAACGTGTTTTGTTCTTGGCTCATCCAACACCTTCCATTAACCCGGATACGGGATGCTGGCAACAGGCTGTTATAGACCTTGTCTCTCGTGCGATTGCTGCATTTCTGTTCAGCGATACACTGTTCATACTTTTGATACGACGAGGTATCGGCATCCGTACCTATAAAGCGATCGAACTCTCAGTCTAGTACTGAGGCTCCGAGGTACGGTAGTGTTGTTGTGTGCCATGGGAAGACATATTATGTCATGTACCTTTAAGGAAGTTCAGTAGTTTCTACTATGCTTCTCTACGAGTGGCGACCTGCTAGTATCGTAGCTTGCTTGGTGAGATATGCCGAAGCTTTTTGCAGCCTGACGTTATTCAGACCATACCTCCCCTGTGTAGAAGCTAAGCTCCAAGGCTGAAGTATCAGAAAGCCAACGTGCTTTCGGGAATTGGCCATATTTAAACGGTTTCTTCGTCTCCAGGTCGGCTCCTTCGACTGGGTCGTCGATGTAAACACTCGCAGGGGCTAGGCTTTCCTTAACTTCATATCTTGTCTCTAGATTAACACAGACTTCCGCAGCTTCCAGGGTTTTGTTACTAGGCCAGGTCTAGAGCAAGAGCAACTACTTTGCAGGAGATTGCCAAGCTTATGATTTGCAAGGAAGACCAAGTTGAAGATCGCTAATTGTTTTCTTTGGCGTTGACGAGCCGCTTAAGGTTACTTAAGTCCTTTCGAAAGTAGATTTGACTCATACCACGTCACCACTGGAGCTAGAACGCTGAAAGCTTGCCCAAAGACACATTGCATTGATTAGTCCGTCCGATAGATCTTGTCGCTGATTACTTTCTGTAATATCTGCAGTATGGTTTCCGTACGATGGCGGATGATGTTGTGGTACTAAGTTTATGATAAAAGCTCCCTCCTCTTCTCAACATTAGGTCCATTATGATCGGGTACTACGCGTACCGGATGGGGCTCACCAACTCCCCCATTACCGATCCAGCAGCTACTAAGTAAACTTCGGAGCGATGTCCACAAAGCCGAAGCCCTTCTCCTGGCCGAAAAGACTTCCCTCCGCCTCCACGATTCCGCTGTAGAATCTAGCCGCGCCTGAGCCCTTCTCCTGATCCTGACGAATGCTCTTGATGGCAAGGAAGTCCCCGTTATCGAAGTACAACTTCCAGTCCTGGGCGTACGTCGTGTTTGTGACTGGGGACGTCCATGTAGTTGCGTTTCCGGGAGTCATCTGAAACCGAACAAGGTGAAGCCCGTCACCTGCCCGGATGGTGGCGAAGCGCAGCTGCTGACTCGGCTCTGCAGTATCCGAGTACCATATACTGGCTCGGATGCCACCTGAAAAGTTGAGCCCGAACCAGGTGAAGTTGTTGGGGCCGCCGACGCCGTGCTGGCGGTCATACCAGGTCAAGGACTGTGTGGGGTCGACCTCGAGCGTGGTTCCGTTGATGGTGAAGGAGCCCTGGGTCCTGCAGCTCGGCAGCGACCATTGCGTGGTGGTCCCGGTTCCCCAACGGTAGCGACCGACGCCGCCGTTGAGTATGACGGGCGAGGAGGCGTCAAAAGTGAGGTTGAATGCGTACGTGTCGTACTTACCCCACGTGTTCAATGACGAGAAGCTGTCATTAGAAGTGCTCTTGAAGGCAGAACCGTCGACTTCAATGTCGAGCAGGCCGTTCTTGATCGTCAGGTTTCTCTGCAGCGGCGCGAGGCCACCCGTGAGCCAGTAGTTGCTGGTGTATTCGAGATCCAGGATTGAAGACTGGAAGACACTCTGACCGTTACCGGTTGGCACTTGCTGTGACATAATTACATATTGGTGGTCATTGGAAGCTGTGACGAAAGATGCTGCCCAGTAGGAGTTTGTTTGTTCAGAGGCCAATTGAGACTCCTGGAAAGAGTAGAGAGTTGGCAAGTTCGACTAGATGGACTGTGTCTTAGCACTCATTTCTTTATTTCTTGTTGAATTAGATGCATCTCTGGGCATCCTAAAAGGACGGCTCTTACCCCGAGACTGTCTATACCTGTGGTATCGGGTACGATGTCGAACCTCACGGCGGAGGTGGCTCCGAGCAATAGTGCCCAGTAGCCGCTGCTTAGACGTCCCATTTTGCAACCGTTCTGAGGTCAAGGAGAAAGAGTGTGAGAGCCTCAGATGAAGGCGGTGAAGCTACCTAAAGTTGGTTGGGTAGTGGGGAGTGGTAAAGTGAAGGAAAGCATTGAGAAAGAAGAGACTTTTATACCAAGTAAGGTAAGAGTGAATACTTCGGACTTCTCAACTCTTAGTCTGGAAAGTGAATTAAGAGTTGAAAGTGCCAAGTAGTTTGATAAACTTTGGTTAAATTCTTTGACGGGGCTACAGAGATTCATGACCTACAACCTCTGTCCACAATCCAACATGGGCTTGTCGTCTTTCCATTGACAATGGGGTCATATGGACCAGTTTGTTACGGAGGCCGGATTTCAAACTCGATCCAACTCCCTTGATACGGCGATTTTAAAGCATGCTTGATGTTTGTCATGAAGTAAACCCTGATATGCGAGTGCGACCAACGTAAAAATACGAGAGACGGACCTTTCCACTGGGGACGGAAACCCGTCGGACTACATCCCGTTTCCCCCATCGACGAAGCCGGAATCCTGAATCGGGCCCCCAAATATACCGACCGCCGAGCTCGATGCCGTGTCTCTCCTACTGCTAGTGGCAATAGGCCATGAAGACGGCGTCGGCACTTGTGTATGAACCGTGAAGGGAATTGCGTGCCAATCTACCATGTACATAGCCACCAATCCACCCTCGTTCACAAACATCAGCCCGATGTTACTTAGACGCGTAAACTTCAAAGAATTCCCGCTGGATTATTTGATTATATATATTATGTTACAGTAGTTGATGGATTGCTCTGTGTAGTCAGAGCTGTACCTAATTATAAGGCAAGACAGAAAGGTTCACTGAGCCACGGTGCAGTCGAAGAATCTCATGCACAGCGTCCCAAGTTCGCCATGTTCTTCTAGTCCGAACTGCAGTCTTCATGGCCGAGCTACATGCTATAGCCCGAGCTCTGGTCAAGTTTTGGACGAAGTTCATCCGTAGAAGTAAAGCATTGTTCGACAAGTTTCGGTGGCAACCAGTGGGAAAGACTTCCCAAAGCGGACTTGGTTTCCCGAAGGTTGTGGGGCTTCCCGTCGATCTGAGAAGCGCTCCCGGAACTTTGACCTGGAACACCCCTTTAGAAGCCCCTATCAAAATGAGAACTCAATGACTAGTTACCCCGGATTATTCCAGCTGGGACGAATGCCATCCTTGGACGTGATTTCCCGTGAACACGTTGATGAAGGCCTCCCAGGGCCCCGAATCCCGCTCAGACATTTTGATGGCACTTGTTCCTGTGAGGCGCGTCAATCGGAAAATCCCTAGAGCCCAGCGGACATTTCCAACAGCTGGGCAGAATCCAGAATCTCTGCGGACTTAAGGGCCCAAGGAGTTCGCGACGACGCCGACATTGTACGTGACGTTGCAAGTGGTGGAACTTGCTCCATCGAAATGTCCAAAAACGGTAATTCGGTATCGAGCCACTTACATCGGGACTGTGTTGAAATACCAACGATGATGCGAGCGAGGTTTCCCAAATCTGAGCATTCAGAGATCACAGACATTCTAGCACAGTTCTTTTGATACATTTTATTTGAAAGCACTTCACTTTCATTGCCATGACTGATCAACCCTTTAAAGTCATCGTCGTTGGCGGCGGACCGAGTGGCATCACGGCGGCACACGTGTTGCAGCAGGCTGGCATCGACTTTGTCGTTCTTGAGAGGAGAGACAGCATTGTCGATGATGTTGGCGCCAGCTTGGTCCTCAGTCCTGGCTCCTTGCGTGTGTTCCATCAACTTGGGATCCTCGAAAATCTCATGGAAATTGGCAACACGCTGTCATCAGGCACAGGATTTACCTCCGACGGCCACAAGTTCAAGCAAAACCTGATTGGCGACTACATGATGAAGAAGTAAGTAGTCAACTACTGCTCGTTCTCAATGCGTAGAAATCCCATGCTAACAACTGCTGCTTACAGTCACGGCGCAGGCCTCACCACATTCCACCGTGCCCACCTGATCCAGGTCCTCTACGACACCCTGCCCGAATCAGCAAGAGCGCGCTACTTCACCGGAAAGAAGCTCGCAAACATCGAGTCGACCGAGAAGGGCGTCATGGTGACCTGCGAAGACGGCTCAACGTACTCTGGAAACATGATCATCGGCGCCGACGGCGTCCACTCCGCCACCAGACGTCAAATGCGCAAGCTCGCCCTCGCTGAGGACCCCAACCGCGACTGGGATCCGATCAACCCGTACAAGATCCAGTACCAGTGCCTGTGGGCATCGTTCCCGCGACCCACCGACGCTGGTCAAGGGTGCGAGACGCAGAGCAAGGACAAGTCCATCATGTACCTCACCGGCAAGGAGAGGGGCTGGATCTTCCTCTACGAGAAGCTTACAGAGCCCATCCCCGAGAGGATCTCCTTCACGCCCGAGCAGCTCGAGGAGTACGCCGAGCGGTTCGCCGACTGGCCCGTCGCGGAGAACATCACGGTCAAGGACGTCTTCAAGGAGCGGTACAGCGCGGGCGGCGCTGGTCTCGAGGAAGGGATCTGCAAGAACTGGAGCTGGGGAGGGCGCATCGTGCTCGTCGGCGACGCCGTGCACAAGTTCACCCCCAACGCCGGCCTGGGCTTCAACAACGGCCTCCAGGACGTCGTCGCCGTGTGCAACCGGCTGCAGAAGCTCACGACCAACGGCAACAGCCCTTCTCCCGACGACCTGCAGAAGCTCTTTGACAGCTATCGCGAGGAGAGACACGTTCTTCTGGAGAAGGACTTGGATGCGTCGGCGCGGTTGACGAGGTCGCAGGCCTGGGCGTCGACGTTTGACTGGATCATGGCGAGATACGTCATGGCCTTTTCGTTCGTGCAGAAGATCTTCTTCACGTTCAACATGTCTCCGTCCATTCAGAGGGCCAAAGTGTTGGACTTTGTACCGGCTAAGGAGGTTTTCAACGGCAGATACAAGTGGTTGACCCCTTTCCCGAGTGAGAAGTAGTTCGGGGCGCTACGCCCGTTTTTCTCTGTTTTGCTCGTTGTTTTGTTTTAGCTTATTAGAGCATGTTAATTTGAGCGTAAAGCCGGAGTTGGATACATAGATGGGAACGACTAGAATTTGTACAAATAGCCGCCATAGAGAATCACATATTCCCCATTATGCCCTACATTCTCGTCAGTGACCTGTACGGACAGGCTCGTCAATTCCAAGCTAGTGAGCCAAAGCTCGCCGAACCAACTGAGTTCCAATATGCCTGATCTTATGTGGGAGGTCATGACCTACAGAGCAGTCTTGGGACTCGAAAGCAGGATACCTCGAGTTTGCTAACCTCTGACAGACGTTGACTCAAGGCCACAACTCAGATCTGTACCTGGACTAGTATGCGTGGGAGGAAGCGAAACTCTAATTAATCACACGGAGTATGAAAGTCGGCAGTTGTGAGACTGCCAAGCCAAGAATACCGACTAATCTCACCTACCCGGGCTCTGCCGTAAGTCTGCATTAGAAACTGGGAACGGAACCAGAAAGCCCCGTGAGTTGATTTCGGAATCTTACATGTCATGCCCATTGCTTTCACGGTTGGAAGACGAAATTTCAGGAGCAGGCTGTGAAGGTTGGGCCGAAGGCTCGACCCAAGCAAGGGTGGAGTCGTCGCCATTTATCAGGGAATTGTTCCGTCTACAGAACATAATCACCCGTGATGGAGGTCGCGAACTAAAGAAAGAGCTGTGTCCGGCCACCGATTCAGACGGAATCACGGACGCCGAAGCTAAGCGTGACGCCCGGCGAATCTTGGCTCCACATCGGAGACGGCGGCCCGGCGGGTACCCTGCCTCCTTTCGGTAAGAGATTCCACTCGGATATCCGGGAGCGGGAACTATACTATATCACCATGTCTATCAATACGTGCAGGCTTTTGAACGACTAATGATCGGTTACCATCATTTGCCTGGGTTTGATTGACCTTGATGGTTACAGACTCTTAAAGACTCTCACAGACTCACGCTGGGTCTCTGCTTATCTTGGTCTCTGGTTTGGCTACAGGCGCATAGTGACGCCCATCTCGATACCTTTTCATCGTCCTACGGTAGCTGCCGCTGCGGCAACATCAAGTCATCGTCCAAAGTAGACCCCATAACCACAGCACGTCACTACTGAGAGCCCACCTTGTTCGGCCTCCTCACTTACACCGTCCACTGACCCACGAACCCAGACCGCCTGCCGCTGTCTCGACTGCCGCAAAGCATCCGGCAGTGCCTTCGGTGTAAGTATCCTAGTCCCTGCCGCCGCCTTTGCATGTGACAAGGGCACGCCGACAGACTACACCAGCACATCTGACAGCGGCAACGAGTTCGTCAACCACTTTTGCGGGACCTGCGGCGTAGCGCTCTGGGCTGACGGGACGTCTTCCCCGTTCAAATTCGTCAAGACCGGTGTTTTGGATGATCTTGCCGCACTGGACATGTCGAAGCCCGCTGCCAAAATATATACCTGTCGACGTGCCGGGTGGTGACCGGCTTTGAAGGTAGCGCAGCAGAAGGAGAAGATGTAGGACACGGATGGCACAGCGGGAGGGAGGAGGGGCTCTTTATCAGTGAATTTGGCTACTATACCCAGTAACTTCATTAGCTTATTTATACAGAGTATACATGAGGAACGGACTCAACGGAGGTCAGCTTCCACGAGTGATCCACTTGCCGATCTGTGAGGGTCTGTCGGCCCGCGCCGATGGGATCCCGCGCGGTTGGGCAGATGCGCGGGCAAGCTAACAAACCTCGCATGCAGCCCAGGAAACTCGTTGGTCCATCGTATGCAGTCCCGCCTTAAGGAAGGCATATCGCGTTCGCCTCAATTCCTCTTACCTTCTCAGCCATGGCATATTCCTTGCTTCGATGATGCTCTCTGGCAATGGTTTCTACGACCGGCTGAGGCAAACTTTCCCCAACCAACAGCTTGACTTCATCCTTGAAGAGCCCCGCGTCGCCCGGAGAGAGAGCATGCAACCGAGTTGATTTGAACTAGAATAGAAAGAATCAATGTGTGAGAGACCCGAAGCTGGAGTTCCCCTTATCATGGCGATCACCTCCAACTCCTCGAAAAGTGGCCCTCCCACATCAATCGGCCAACCTGAGTATCACACATCATAAGGCATGGGACGCTTTCCATCGCCGTGGAGGTCGAGCAACCCCTCCCAAAGACAATGAGGATTGGTAATCATGTCTTTCGACGGCGTAACACTTGTATACGATTTTACGGAATGCCAGAGCTACTGAACCACAGAGGACAAGGTATCATATGCTCAAAGTTCTTGAAATCAGGAACTTAGACTGCCTTACCTCGAAATTCATTCGTAACTTCGCTTGTGCCTTGACAAAATCCCATCGCCAACCCCGACTTCGAATCTGATCCCGTTGCCCCAATGCCTCCATTCGTCTTCACAGCCTCAAAAACAGCCCTCATCACCGGGGGCGCATCAGGCATCGGCCTCGCCGTCGCCAAGAAATGCCTCGGCCACGGCATGAAGGTCCTCATCGTCGACAACAACGACGACTTCCTGGCCTCGGCACAACGTAGCTTGGGAGAAGACAAGGTCTCAATCGCCAAAGCAGACGTCAGCAGTCTCAGGGACTGGGCTCATCTCAAGAAACGTGTCGACAGCGATTTTCAGGGTAGGATATTTGCCTCGCTCGATGTGACCCTTGCGCCCTAGTACACAGACATTCTAACAAACCTCGCCAGGCCGCATCGACTTCCTCTTCCTCAACGCCGGGATCCAGCCTTCCTCCACCTGGGACGACCCCTCGACTTTTCAAACAATCTTGAACGTAAACCTCCTTGGCGTCATCAACGGCATCGCAACCTTCAAATCCGCCGTCTCATCGTCCTCCTCTTCTTCTTCCACCACCGCCATCGTGATCACCGGCTCAAAACAAGGCATCACAAACCCACCCGGCAACCCAGCCTACAACGCCAGCAAATCCGCCGTCAAAACCATCGCCGAACACCTCTCCTACGACCTCCGCGAATCCTCTCCCAGCACCAGCGTTTTTCTCCTCGTGCCCGGATGGACGTTTACCAGTCTCGGACGCAGCGAAGAGGACCGCACGCGGGGAGAGAAGCCTGCTGCCGCATGGACTCCGGAGCAAGTCGCCGACTACTTGGAGGCCAAGATAGCAAAAGACGAGTTCTACGTCATTTGTCCCGATAACGAGGTGACGGAGGAGATGGACGCCAAGAGAATGCTCTGGGCTGCGGAGGATGTTGTTCAGCGGCGGCCGGCGCTGAGTCGGTGGAGGAAGGAGTACAAGGAGGAATTTGAGGCGTGGGTGAGGTCTTGAGTGCGGCGAGTACGAGGGTCACAAATTGAGTATACGCACGCACACAAAATAGACGCTTAGGAAGTGAGTAGAAGAGTCAACTTCCCCAAAGACTCGGCTCTTTTGCTAGTAATCCTAAGCTGAGCTACACTATGTCTATGTTTAATGGGCGGCAGAGACCTGCCACGCAAGCGTCTCCATAGTCGTCCCATATATTTTCTCGACCATCAAAATTGCGTTCATACGTTCTTTTAGATCTGTCGAAGGTTGACATGCCATCACGAGACTTGCTGACACAGTAGGCAGGCCCCAAGAATCGTGCTGTTCGAACGTGGCTCGGAGGATAGGGGAACTCTGGGTCGTCTGGCCGATGTCTGTATGTTTCCTGAGAGCCATCGGCCATTGCTGCAATCTTATCTAATGGTCATGACAGCTTGTCTTGGGAAATATCTGAAACCTCATGCACTAGCTTGGGCGACATCCACCTCAAGCACATCGATACCTCGACCAGATGCTCTCCTATTTACGCAAAATGACCGTCTAAAAAGTCCGGGCCTGTAAAGCAATAGTCGTCGATCGGAAACTTTCGTTGCTTCGTTTCGTCAAAGGCGATCAAGATATCGCCAAGTTTCATAACGTGAGGCGCCAAACCATAGTCTGGTTCCAACCTAGTAGGATCGTGCTCAATCGTCCTATAACGACTATACGGCGAAGGATGAAGCACAACCAAAGCGAACCTTTGAAGGATGCTGCCGATTAAGGCCAGTAGCGATTTCTGTTTTCCGGCAAGAAACTCCGGATTCTCAAAGCCAGTCCTGACTGTTTCGTACAGCTTTTCCGTAAGCGTGTGGAAAGACCAGCTGCTCATTTGGTCATTATCCTCTGACACAGTGTCCTTGCCCTTTAGGGCGATTGCGAATAATGCCGCAATCTTTAAACAACTCCTTGATGTCACGAATTGATTTTGGATTGGCTTAAGACATGAGAGTGCGTGTTTCCACAACTTTTCCTTCTCGACTACTAGTTCTCGCGGTAGCGTCAGGATCAGTCGGGCATTCTTCCCATAGAGACCACCACGAAATGACGACCACCTGACCCTTAGTTTCGTCTTCTCAGCAAAGAATCTTGTTGCGAACTCATTCCTGACAAGTCTGGATCCGCTGAACTTTCTGCAGTCTGGGATGTCTTGTTGTGCCTCTTGGAGCCAGAGCTTTTCTTTCTCTTTGCTAGACAAACTGACATTCCAGTGGGGTTCTGGAGAAGGACCTTCAGTTTGCAAGCCACCGAAATTATCGGTACAGTCCATCCAAGGCTTATCGTCGCGATTTGTCGGATGCAGGCGATCCATATGGAACTCGCCTGACGCCATTCCCAGCTGTCGAACCCCAGACCAATCAGGGACCCAAGACGGACACTCGGCGTCGTCTAGGCTCCTCCCAGCAGCTAGGCCAAACGCGAAAAGGTGCAGAATGACCCTACTCGCCGATAGAGTGCCTTTATTGATATATCCTCAGCTAGGCAGCGATACATTTCCTTCCAGCCGATCTGGCCATACTGAGATCAATCTGTTGTTCGCTCTGGGGTAGGAAGCAGTGCAAAGCTGCAAGACGATCTCGCGGGTCTGAGCACATGGCCGTATGGAATCCCCAGAGCAGTTCCAAGAGGTCATCCGTCACATCACACCGTAGCAGATGTCGCAAATATCCCAGATTGCCCTGAGTTAGCAGGCGACTCTCCACCAAGTACCAAGCTCCTCGGAAGCGTGCGTACTCAACAGAGTGCTCTCCATAACGCAAGACGGCTCGATCTGCAAGCTTGATCTCCTGGATGACCCATCTTCGGCTGAACCATGGCTTTTGCGTCAGCATCGTCAGGCTTTTGCAAAGATCCACCCTGTAGGACTCGATCGCCGCTGGGATCGCATGTACCATGCGTATGTTGGCAAATGCCACCGCGACTTCATCGGCATCGACGTCGCCAAGCCAGACGTGTACCGTCTCGGCGCACCTGTAAATCTCGCCCATCTGTGGAATCTGCGACGCCTTATCATTCTCATCCTGTTGGTCGATGCACAGGGCGTCAGTCCAGAGGTATAGCAACTTGTGAGGATCGCGCAGGTATCGCAGGATGCTGTCGACGGTCGGTGTGATTCTCAACAGCGACTCCTTGTGCGTGATGATATCGTCGCCAACACTGCTTTGATCAATGACGAGGTCGACGGAGAAATCGGGCAGGCCCCAGGTGCACGATACGGCAGAGTAGTTCCGGGACGTATCTCTACTGCGAAGCTGCTCCTGCCGACTGTATTGGATCATGGAACATCGCAAATGTGGAAAGAATGCATGAAAGGACAATAAGCAGCAGGGCAGAGGGAGGAGGAAGGCACAACTATCTTGAATGATTTCTTGTGGTGCTAAGGTATGGTTGATGCATCGGTCGCCATGCAGGTCGATATCAGGCAGAAGTGCATAATCCCAACATCCTCTTGAGGCGCCTACTTTAGGTATCAGGTTTGTTGGTGCTCAGCCGGCTAGCTTCTCTGTACGGCACCGCAGAAACTCATGGGATTCAAACTTGCGCCAGCCCGTCACGACATTGCCAAAATGAATAGCACACTAAGGTAACCATCTACTCTACTTCAACCAACTTTATCAATCTTTCCTAAATTCATTCATCGTTTCGATACGCTGAAGTCAGCTGAGTGTCCCAGATACGTGATGTAATATCTCATCAATTTCTTAGATTTAAATAATCTAGTCTAGTATGTCTTTTGTAGTACTCATGCGGAGAATAGCTTGTGCCACTTCTTTTTGACAGCCGCGTGCCCGTGTACACGACGCGTTAACCCTCTCTTAGTACCAAAAACTCGCTGGACTCCGCTCCTCTTTAAAATTTCAATTTTGAATAGAGGCATGTATTATCCAGAAGATGAGTAAGATAGCGGGAATATGGACTAGTTCCATTTCGGTACGATGTGAGTTTCTATGGTAGCCTCATACCCTAGGGTATATTGAAGGATAAACCACCTCCAAGCAACCTCACTGTTGGTTGCATCACATTTCACTCCCTCCACTTCAAAGAGCGTTGCCTACCACTTCAAGTCGGCGAAGACATGATAAGAAAGGTCCTCTCTTCTGTACCCACATGGTTCCAATTACAACCCCAAAAGTCCCATCTCGACCTTCCCCTTCTTCACACTGATTTGGGCTGCTCGCAAACTTGCGACCCTCAACTTCGGGACGCGTCGCCTCATCTCGAGCCTTCTGTTGGGGGCCATACTTGAAATGACGTAGCAGGGCATTCACCATGCCGGCCTCCTGCATCATTGAGGTGCGTGTTTTCCTTTGTCCCTGGAACGCCTGAAGCGCAAGACCGAGCTGTTCACGATTCTGACCCAGAACACCAATCATGAACTCCCTCTCTCCCTAAAACCATTACATACGACCATACCCATTGGAAAACTCGGGATCCCGTCCGCTCTCCCATAGATAAGCCAATGAGGGCCGGATTAGTAGTTGGGTCGGTGACGACCAGCGAATACCTGGTGTTGTATGTTTTTTTCGCTTTTCGTTTTCTCTCCCGTCTTCAATCTTGCTCTTAAAATCCCCCGATATCCACTGACCATGTTAGTTTTTGGAGTGGTTGTCGCTTTCGACGAATCAAAAGTAAGCGCCAGTCTGTGTTTGGCTATTGGTCGGGAAGACTTGCGACCTATTAGATTGGATGGATGGCCGGCCACTTTAGCCATGACATTGCACGTGCAAAAAGCTGACATGCACAAGCAGGGAATAAGGTAAGAATGACTTGCTCCCTTCCCCCCAAAGTCTAAATTCCCGCTTGCCTTTCGGTGGACTTGCGTCATGAACGGTGGTCCCACCACCACCCCCAATGACATTATGACCTTGACTCGGGGATGGGGGACCTCTTCGATCCTGTTTGGTCACTTACACAGAAATGACGATAGTACTCCGTAGTCAGAGTTTCTCTTTTCATCATGTATCACAGTCATGCAGGACGCAAAATGTTGGACAGCACAAAGGTTGGTATGATTGATGCAGTATATGCCTGTGTACATGTGTATTCTCCATGACCCTTTTTTGTCGGGCAGTGGAAGACTCTCCTTGCGACTCCTACTTTTTGGGGGATGGTTGGTGGTGTTCTTCGTACAATCGAAGTGGGAACAGAAATTCGGGATGGGAGGCTAACACCACCACAACACCACAAATCTGAACCTGGTAAAAAGAGAGAGTAGATATGCGCGTCAATTCGATGCGGGCGTGTGTGTGTGTGTGTGGTCCAAAGGTATCATGACGCTCGCGGCCGGGACAAACCACGTAGACAAAACAAAGTAAAAAAAAGGAATCCTTCCCCTCCCATTGTCCCCTTTGGGTGAAAAACAAACCAGCATCCCGTCTATTCCAAAATGCCAAACTCCAAGATTCGCCAGGTTTGGAGGGGCTTCTTCTCATCCTTGACTGGTGAGGACCCCCAAACTCCACATTATGACGGCTTGCCCTTGTTCCGCCGTCCTCAACTCCGTTCGACCAGGCTTCTTCTGATGCTTCTTCGGGGGTATGGTACCGTTTTCTCCTGCCCAGCAAGATTTCAAATTTTCAAACATCATTGCGCGCTCTGAGACCTCGACCGGTTGCCGCGTCGATTGCTGGATCGTGGAGTGCTATTCCCCTCCCGCCCCGCGCCGGCTCTCACCGCATCGGTGTAGCTAGGTATCGGTGGGTGCGATGGTCCGGCCGCAGCGGCTGCCGAGGCGCCTCGACTCCGATTAAGAACGCGGATCAACGGCGTATTTTCGCTGTCTGTGCTGTTCCGACGACTGCCGGCCTCCGAGTGGTCGGGGCTCGTGTACTCGGGTGGCGGGTTCAAGGCGTCTTGAAGCCCAAGCCCTACGACGCTTTGCCCTTCGTGCCCGCGATTGATGCTGCTGCTTGGCTCGCCGCCCTCATCGTCGGACACAAAGTGCGTCAGGGAGATGTCAGTCGGGCTTCTTACGGGACCGGGGCTCCTCGGTGGAAGTACTCTGAAGTTTCCGCTTCTCGTCCGCCCATGTTGAGGTCCCAAGCCACTTTGCGAGTAGGACTGTGTCTGAGAGTGCCCCCGCTGCTGCTGTCCGCCGCCGCCGCCGCTGGTGCCTGTGTATCCGTCCTTGCGTCCAGCTTCGAGCAGGATATCGCCCTGTTCGGAGCCATACGGTGGCGGCGGTGCCAGGCTGCCCGTCATGGGGGCAAGACCCCATTTCTTCACGTTGGCCTCGATGAAGACGAAGCCGGCCTGGCCAAAGTTGACGTGGACGATGCAGGGCCCGTTGGCACCGATGGCAGGGAAGAAATTTTGCGACTTTACACCGTGAACGGCATCTTCCAGCTTCTTACCATTGCGGGTGAAGAAAATGGTGCCCGTTCGGGGACGATAACCAACACCGATAACATCGCCCTGAACGAACTGAGGTCCGTAGGGGGTTGCGGCAAATGGCTGGTTGCAACGGCGCTGGCCTGCTGACAGGTATGCTACGGAATGTTTGTGGAAGCCTGGATGGTTAGCGTCATGCGGTTGCAGCGAGGGGCTGGAATGCCATATACCTGGTAGTCTGAACAACGGGTACGGTTTGGTAGCCATGCCGATGCTGAGGAGGGTATTTTCGGGCTTATCGTAGATCTTGGCTTCCCAGTAGTAGACCTCGTTTTGCTTGGGCACAGGCAAGTTGCTCATGACGGTGCATTCAGAGTCGAAGAACTCAATCTCGGTGCGGCCTTCGACGAAACAGTTTGCGATTTCCAGCTCGGGTTCAAATTCCCAAGCAGAAACACCCTTTTCTTGAATGGCGAGGTATTGCGATAGAGAAATGTCGGTTTGAACGGATTCGGGGGGGTTCGCTTGGATGAATGCTACAACGGGAGTTTGGTTAGTCGTGTGCGGATATCGCGGTAAGGACAATACGAAGGTTGCCTACCTTTTGCCCTGAGGTACTCGGTCTTCTGCATATCGTCCATAGACTCGAGAGCCTCGGCCTCCTCCCGGGCAAAAGCCTGCTCATCGTCATATTCGCCTGGTCGGCCGATGCGATCGAGAAAGATGCGACCACTGGCCGTGTATCTGAAGAAGTAGATGACGAGGAAGATGAGAGCGATAAGGACGGCGGAACCAAAGGATGAAAGCAATCCAATGACAACGCCGTTCAGCGCCGATGATGGAGCTGAGGGTGCCATTGTGGGCAGGCGACGAAGTTTGTCGATGGAATCCGGTCAATCGGTCGGCTGTCGTTCGTGGGGCGGTGGTGGTGGACTCGTGAGTAGAGAGGTGGTGAGGTAGGATGGATCGGTCGAGAGGAGGGACGGCTGGCGTCACCGCCGCGAAAGCAGCATTCGCGGGCGAATCGACACTCGTGAAGCAAGCGATGAGAAGGAGAAAAGCGACAGGCGAAATAAACTTGACACGGCAAAAAGAATAAAGGAAGGTCGTCGTCGACGGACGGTGCGAAGAGAGAGAGAGAGATTGGGTGGGATTGAATGAGATGCGAAAGAGTTGGTTGTTGGTTTGGGACAAGTTGGGTTGGCGCGGGCGGGCGGCGAGGCGTGAGCGTAAGGTGAGGGTACGGTAGGCGTACGGGGTGCTGTGGGTAGGCACGCAGGTAAGGCACGGTAGCGTCGGTCGGCAAGGTCAGACGAGCGTTGTCGTCGTCTTTGGAGTGAGGTACCTGGAGGTGAGGTAGCAGCGCAAGTACTGCGTAGGTAGGTAGGCGGTTGTGCTGTGCTGCGCTGTGCACCGCTACGACGGTGGAAGAGCAGTGAGCAGGGCGAATGGTTGCGTTGCCACAGTTCTCCGACTGACCCAAGTCGCAGGTCGATGGGGCATGGGCTGGTCTTGTCTGTGGCGGGTCCCCTCTCTCACTCTCACTCTCAGTCTCTCTCTCTCAGCTGGGCGTGGGACGCAGACACCTTGGGTAAAGGTACTTTAATGTAGGTAAGCAGGTAACCTAAGGTAAGGTTATGTAGGCGGCAGCGGCGCAAAGGGAGTCGGCCGGGTTCTCTGCTGCCCGGGCTACCCAAGGGCGATGGATGACTACCGTAACTAGGCACCTTTTACTATCGAAAAGCAAGGTACTTTAGTTAAGGCAAGGTAAGGTAGATAGATAGGCCCCGTTCACGTAGGGAGAATGGACCGGGGGATCAAGTATCCGAACGATACCTTGGAAAGCCTAGAGGCAGCGTAAGGTAGGGAGAGATCAAATGGGAGAGAGGAGTTCAGTTCAGAGTTGGGATGGAAAAAGAGGGGGACGAGGAAAAAAAAGAATAAAAAT